GTATGAAATAGAGACACCTGCCTATGCCATGGTGAACTCCCAGAGGAAAAGGCAGGATAAAAATTCAATAAACATGGATCTAAGAATGTCCAAAAAAATTCACAGGAAAAATCACAATACTTTGAGGAACCATAATATTTTATTTAGCTGATTGGGATAGAAGATTGCTTTCTTCTTTCTAGGTAAATACCCTGTAAGCATTCTTGTTTATTAAGCTAATGCAGGCTTAATTTTTGAGCTGAAAACAAAGATGGATGGATGGATGGATGGATGGATGGATGGAAGGAAGGAAGGAAGGAAGGAAGGAAGGAAGGAAGGAAGGAAGGAAGGAGTCTAAGGCAGAACTAAAACAGTCTCCTGGTTTTTAGCCTGGTACTTTAACCACTAGACCAAACTGGCTCTTGGTTGTATGGACAGATGGATACACACACATACACAATTGATTTTTAACTATAGTAAATAAGATTAGAATGCTCAGCTGATCAGTTTATTGTCCAGATGCTAACTACAAGTGGGTAGTTCAGGGTGTATTTCTCCCTATTAATTTATTTCTTTACTTTTAAATCATACTTTGGCTGAACAAATGTTCAGAGGACTATCTTCTAGAATATAGGACAATTGATGAGATTATTCAGTGAATAAAATGAAAGGAGATCCCCATAGAAGCTGCTTTAAGCTATTATAGAAAAGGGAAGATATATATCTAAATTACCCCTAATTTGACTGACCAGTTAATTATATTTTGTGTTTCATCCATTGAGTTCAAGATGGCATTTATCAGTGGTAGATGAATCTGTGGTTCTGTAGATATTAATAAACAATGACTCTGAAAACCTTTCGCCCATGGATTCTCCAACAATTTGAAAGCAACTCTCGACTATTCTTATCCCACAATAATGGCATATATGAGAATTGAGCCAGTTTATTTCTGGCTCAGCTGTGTTGCATTTGAAACTACAGTAAAACTAATCCTTTGAAATCCTGCAGCTCTCTGAAACTCATAGTATCTATTTGTAATGCTGACTGTAGTTCAATAATATATGGAGGATCACTCCAGTCATCTCATACATGCCTTTTTATCCATTTCATCCCATTTTATCCTCCTAATAAAATAATAGGCTGGTACTTTAATAACTGGCTCAAGGTTACTCAGGAAACATCATATCCAAGTAAAGATTTGAACTAGATATGCCTAGTCCTATTTTATATTTAAAATAAAAAGTTCCTGTTTCTAAATAATCTAGTAACAATCTTGTTATAAAGACCAAAAGATGTCTGATTTTGTTGAAGAGAGGGAAATGCTTCCTGAATAATTTAGCAGTCTCAAACATACTTTTGTTTCATCTCCAAATCAAGGTCAAAACAATGCAATATATAATTCAGACATATAAAGTATGTCCAGAAACGAATATTTTACATGCATATGCTCAAACGTTAGCATTGTTGGAAGGCTGTAAACAACGTATACATGCAAAACAAGAATTAATGATCCCAGATTGTTATTTTTGGATTAATACTTTAAGTTCGGGTATCTGGAGTTGTGGGTGATTTGTGAAGGAAACATGATGAACAGATGACATCCTGTACATTTCCACACCTAATGTACTTCCAATTATAATCTAGCCAAATGTTGAGAAAATGGGAAAGATTCTTAAAAATAGTACTCAGATATAGGCAATGTCTTTTTTGAATGGAGCCCATTTTGTCCTACAAAGTACTTTAGTTTAATCCATATGCTACATCCTGAATTGCAGCAGCAAAATCCCCAGCATTCACATCCCAATACAGCACTTAAAACATTGTTTTTTCAGTTAAGGAAAACAATAGGGAGTACTGTGATCATAAGTAAACATTTATGCAGAAATGTTTCCTTATTGTTTTCTGCAGTCAGTCTTTAACTGTGGTTAATACATCAGGGTTGGGCCTCTAATTGTGAGGATTGTATCATAAAAATAGATCTCAATTTATTATTAAAGCAAAGGTTAAAACTAATGCAATGCATTCTTAAAAGAAAAAAGCATTGGTGACTTATTCATTAGGAAAGATGCCATAGTTTAGTAGTAGAGCACATGCTTTGCATGCAAAAAGTCCGAGGCTCAGTTCCTGGAAAGATTCTTGTCTGAAAATTTAAATAGTTACTGTTGGGTTATTAATGATCTGATTCAGCACAAGAGACGTTCCTATGGATACTGGGTTTTATGCTATTGACCATGATTGCAAAATAACAGGAGGCTCTCCAATACAAGCTTTAATGCAGAGCTAGTCAGCTGTTCCAGAGGATGCATTTCTATTTCCAAAGTTATTTTTAGTCTTGAGGGCTACAAGGAGCTTTGTTAGTGATGTGAAGGTATCATTAAAGAGCACAGAATTAACATTTTAACAGAAAAGCAGATACATGAAGTCTCCTGGAAATGCAACAGATTTATTACAGCTTACCGTTTTTTAGAGACCAAAAAATAGCACCATTCAAAAATCACCATTTGTCATTGTATTTTGCCAGTGTGATTATGGAATTCTGGAGACTGCAAAAAACTGAGTGTGATTGGCATGGAGATCACAAGTTGACTTCTCCTTCCACCTATATCCTGGTAGAGCTTCATAGTACTGACCAGAAGCATTATCTTCTTTTAAGTGACTTCCATAGATTTCAATTTTGAGGTGAGCAGAACTACTTAGCGAGTCAAGCCCAATATGTTTGGACATTAAAGTCTTTAAAGTAGGCATCTGAAGTGCTTCCATTTGATCCTAACCTCACTTGTCTGACAGCTATATTTCTTTTTCAAATCACTACCAAAAAAAGATGATGATGATTTTTGAAAGAAGACTAGGTTCCTTTTTTAAAAACAAAATTGTATTTGATATCACAAACTAGGGATTTCTGATCCCCTCTTTATCAAGGTGATGATTAATTTGGTGCACCCAAAACACCATCTAGAATGGTTTGTGATATATAAAGTATTAGATGTTAACAATTGAAGAAAAAATTAAGCTGTGTCAATTTTTAGAACATTTTATTAACTATAAAAGTATTCAGTTGTCCCATCATGTGAAACTGCAACACTCTTCAGGCTGTTTTTGCATTACAGTTTAATTTTTGGGCACAGATAGATGTAGCACCTCTCTGCTGCTTATTAAGGGAACCTGGTCTTTTTTCAAAATAAACTCATTAAAGTAACTATCAAACTGATTTTTAAAGCAGCCACATCTTTTCTTAGCTGCAGACAGAAGCCTAAAGAAGACATGTATTATCAATTCTGAATCATAGAGAGATGCTGTGCTTGCACTTGTTCAAAAATTATGAAGCAGGCACAGCCATACTGTCTGCAATGCTGAGAATGGAACTAGTAAAAACTTTGCATGTACTGCATATACAAAGCTGTATTAATAGAATGTTGTTACAGCTAATACACTAGAAGCAATGGGAGGGAGGATATGCATTTGACAATAATCTGACAAATGCAGAACAGGTTGTGTAGCTGCTAACTGTAGTATATAAAGAAGAACATTGGTATATTTAACCCTTTCTCCATTTTCCATATTTTCACTTCAAATAATTTATCCCAGTGATACCCACATGAATGTGCATTTAATTTGGAAGAACTTCTTGGGGAGAGCAGAACTACCAACTATTGTTTAGAATGAAGAAATTCTAAAAAAGAACAATAAACAAAACTTGGAATATATGACAACAGCAGCAAGCCTTAGCTATGTCTAAAGATGGAAGGATTAATTTCATGCAAGATTGGATGATGAAATTAATGGAGTTGGTGGGAATGGCAAAATTGACTGTTTGGATTAAAGCTTTATCTAGATTTTCAACTTGGAAACCACTTTTTGATTTTTTTTTTGTTTGAAACTGAAAGAAATGAAAATTTACCTTTGAGTTTTGATTATTAGACTTGTTTATAATGATAGTACTATTTTTCATGATTTATTGCAGTTTAAAGGATCATTGATTTTTAGGTTTTATCTGTATCAAAGAAAATCAAAATTTAATTTTTGTCATAGATTTTTTTCACCTTTTTGCCCACATTCCCCAATTTTGCTTTTTCACTTTTCCTCCCATTTTTTAATTTTTTTTTCTTTGCTTTTTTGTATTTTGCACTTGAAATTTAATAAGATTTGGTAAAAACATTAATGAAGAAATTTTCTGGGAGAAAATGTAACACTCCAGCAGCTTATCCTGTACTCTCCATTGCTCTGTCTTAAAATTGCTTTTCTTTTAAACAAATTACGCTGCATTTCCCATACGTAATTTGCTCCTTAATTAAAGGAGTATCCAGCTTTGTTGACATTACAGTCTAGTGTTTGATAAAATGTATATGATAGCATTTTAGATAGAAGCAACATAGTTTAATGTAATAGGTACTGTTTTAATTTTAATAGTGCATGATCTCAATGGCTCAACAGTTTAATGCAAACATCAAGTTGCACTGCAGATTAAAAACTATTTATTGGCTTTAATATCAGATATATAACAAGGCTGCAGTATTAAGCAGGGAAGTAAACTCCAATAAATATAGGTAGACCTATATTAACATGCATAAGATTATACTATAATAACCATTTCCAGATAAAGGGTGATTGGAACAATCTCAAGATCAGCTGATTAATGGAATATTCAGAATTCTTGGATGTATGACAGTAAAGGTCTCCCAAGTTATACTTTTTTTTTCTTAAAGAGAAAATGTGAACGATTATTACATGGATGGTGAACACACTATTCCTGATGTTTGCACTTTAAAATATGTGCACATTTCTCCTTATCTTCTCTTTTTTGGCTAATTCAGCCTGTCTTAATTAAAAAAATTTTCCAGGTGCAATGAGACTATAAAGTTTTCCACTTTTGGAAACTCGTAACTGTAATTATAACAAATGTGGAGGGTCCCAGGTTGGAAAAGGGTGTATAAGAATTTACTCTGTGAGAAATGTATAAAATTGGTACAAAACTGTCACAGGAGAGCTATTTAACATAACTTTTTTTCTTTTTGGTTTGGCAGGGAGACCCCATTCCTGAAGAAATATATGAATTGCTGCGTGACAGCTCGGTGCGCTCCATCAGAGACCTCCAGCAGGTCCTGCAGATAGAATCCGTAGGTAAATTTCCACACCAAATGTTCCTCTTTAATAAATCTCAACAGATATGTTGAGATATGTTCAACAGTGAAGCAACAACAAATGCATTTGTATACGACCTGATAACTGCCATTGTGAATTATGTGTTTTCTAGATTCAGATTACACACAGTAAAATCATAGGTTACATCTGGTTTGAAAAGCTCCTTCTTCCCCATAGTTTGTGGCAGTTCACCCATAGAATAATTCTATAGCATATTTTAGTGTTTGGCTTGAACAGAGTTTAACATGCAATTCATAATGTAGCAGGGGCATATTAAATAAACAAAATAATGTTTATTATTTTCTAATCAGTCTGTAATAATTCCTAGTGTTTGAAAAAAATTAGACTGTGATCTTCTGTGCTTGAAATCAGATATTAGTCATCCATTATTCATTTCCCTGGCTTTTGATTTTTAGTCTGTATAAAAGGAAAAATGAATGACATCAGGTAATGAGAGGAGAGTTAATGTTTTGTTTTACTGTGGTGATTGGACCAGGCTGCAGAGAGAGTTGGGGATACCTGTCTCAGGACTGAGGTCACAGACCAGATTGAATAGGCTTTGGCACGTGCAGGAATGTGAGCACGCGTCATGGCCATTGGGTTGGCCCTGGAATGTATTTATAAACATTTTCTTCACAGATTCCATTCTGATCCAACCTCTGCTCCCGCCTGTCCCCTCCCCATCCCCTGCCTTCTCTCTTGTGTTTGTCTATTGGTAGCTTTGTAATCTTTGCCGAGACACTATCTACGGGGGAACAGAATTTCCTGTCTTTGTTTCCGATGCCAGTTGGACCACTGGCACGTTCTCAAAAGCATTCCCGCTCCCTTTCAAAATGCCTGTAAGGGGAGGAGGGAAAAAAAGAGGGAGGGCACCAGCTGTGTTCTGCTATTGTTTCCCTTAAAGTTGCTTGGCTTCTCCACCCGCCTGTCCCGGCTACACAAGCCATACAATAGGGTGCCTTCCAAAATTAGCAGCACTGGCTTTTCCACAGCTGGGCCTGTTGCCCTGGTTAGCAGTAGCTTTACTGCCCTATCTGGAAAGACACCCTTGGGGGAAGGGTGAGGTTAACTGGAGACCTCTGTTTTTCAATAGAAGATTTGTTTCAAATCAACAGCATTGCTATTTTTTCCCTTGTCTGTTTAACCTTTGCACAATCACAGCCCCCACCCTGCCCTGATAAAATTCCAGAAAATGGGGGATGGATAGAAGAAGATGGGAAGACCCAATTAAGTTCAGTGCCATGGATTAGTGATAAAGCTTTGATGTCATGATTCATCTTGCTCTTTCCTTTGGGAGTTGGGAGGCTTTAGGGACAATGAATCTGGGAATAATAGCCTTTTAGAATATTGTAGAATCAAAATTTATATAGTTGGGCGCTGAATCTACAATATATCAAGTCTTGATATCTGCAGAATCCGCTGTAAAAAAACTGAGGCTTTATTTCTTTTAGCCTTAAACACAGAACTCAGTCAAGTGCTTGTAGAAACTTTGTGTTCGTTCTCCTTTTTTCTTACAGGCTTTCTATTACTTATTTTTTATGTTCAGAATTATTCCCCAGAAATAATATCTGCTTTACTTTTAAGTAGTTCATAAATGAAAAGCCTGCAACTGTGTAGGAACTATCTTCAAATACTGCCATTGACTTTGGAATCTGGAGGGGTTTGTTGACTCCAAGGAAGCTCTGGCTGATGTGATGGGAATTGCTTTGTTCAGCATTTCCTATGGGAAAATGTTAGAGAATGTTTATAAAGAAAGCTGGCAGCCTTATCTTTTTACCCATCCCCCCAGAAGACCCAATTGGCTAAAATTGAATACATCCTCCTTAGAACTATTATACTTACCTACATCTTCACTTTGGAAAGATAAAATTACAAAGGCCTGAGATCTTGAAGTGTCCCTATTAGTTTGACAAAGTACAGACCTGAACAGATAAATAAATAGCCAGATTTGTTCAAAGGCAACTGAAATCAATCAAATAATTTATTTTACCATTCAGATTTATTCATATTTACAATTTTGTGGTTTTTTTTTTTAAAAAACCCCTAAAATATGCCCAATGCAAGCAACACTTGATTACAGGTAAAATCTAAAGAATAAATGTTATTATTAAAATGATTTATTGGGTATAAAATATATAAAATATAACATAATAGGAAATATGATGTAACCTGAGGATATCTGGAAATAAACACAGAATGTAGAGAAATACATTGTAAAATTTATATCAAATTAATTTGCTGTGCTATTTATTATCAATTTCCATTGAAATGGTCTTATGGTGTTAAGCACCACATTATCTGAACTTGAAATAAATTGTCAAATAGTTTCCACTGTGGCTATTAAGGGGTATGATAAGAAGTGCAGATTTTGAGATTCACTGTCACAATTTCAGATTGCTAGAATTTGGCTTCTACTACAGAATTATAGTCTCATCTTGTAGCTGAAAAATGAAAATCCAAAACGTACAGTCTTATTTTTCTCCTTGCTTAGAAATACATTTTGTGTCATGTTGGAAAAAAGAATTTCATTTTTTAAGGTTGGGAGAATCCTTACCTTTGCATCACTGTATTTTCCCTGCAGTTTACAGGTATATCATTGCTTATCACTTATAATTCCTTCTTACAGGGGAAAATGCCTGCACATTTTCACCTCCTTATTTCAAAATACTTATGTGGAATTCAGGTATTTGCTATAGTGATGCAACTTATATATTAATTTACTTATAATTGTTTTTTCCCCCTCTTTTTGCAGATGAAGATACCTCTAGTTCATACATGAATTTTTCCCAAATGCATGGTGGTGAAAATCTTGTTCCTTTGTCCCGTGGAAGACGAAGTTTAGGTAGGCTGTAGACATGCTGGCTACTATATTTCAACAAGTAAAGTATGGGATTAGATTTAGTCCAGAAATACTTAAATTTTAGTTTTTGCACATATAAACCAGCCCTATCTTCTACCAAACCAAATAAAGTCTTCTTTACAGTTTCAATCTTTGGAATCTGTTTTGCTGCCAGTTTAGAGATGGGAATATTGGTTAATTACATGCATTTAAAAGAATCTTAAATTCTGCAGATGGAAAATCATAATCCTTTAAGTGAATCAACTAATTAAAATAGTTTGTTTTTTAAGGGAGCAGAATAATAAATTTGGTTATAATGGAGGGATATGTAAGATAATTGGTAAATAACTAAGATATATATTTGGTGAAATATTTTCATCTCCTGCCCAATAGAAAGCTTACAAAGACTCCTCTAACAGCTTCAAAATATATAGGAGAAATGCCCCCAAACACTTCTGAATAAAATGAGACACAGTAAAACATGCAATAAGGAAAACAGTCATGAGTTTCAAAATTGATTTCACCAGGAATTTTTCTTCTGGGTTTTTCTAGCCGGAGCAGAACCTATTGAGCCAGCAGTAATTGCTGAGTGCAAGACACGATCTGAAGTCTTTGAAATCTCCCGGAGCATGGTGGATTCAACAAATGCCAATTTTCTTGTGTGGCCACCCTGTGTAGAAGTGCAACGGTGCACAGGCTGTTGCAATACCCGAGCGATGCAATGTCGTCCCACACAAGTTCGGGTGCGACATATCCAGGTATACAGATATCTCTGTTCTTCTCTCCCAGTTTTTTAATCTTCTTTGAATCTTAATTTATCTCATTTTAAAGTTGATAAAGTGCAATAAACCTATCTGACATCTTTTGAAAACAAGGTTAGTATCTGTGCTCCTGAACCCTGCCTAAATTATCTCCTAGTGTTGGAACAAATTTGGTTTTAACGGCTATGAATGTTTCTTGAATAAGATACAGACAGTCCTAAATTTACAAACAGAATTGATGTTGGAATCTCAGTTGTTGACCAAAATGGTTAAGTGAGATGTCATGTGATCACTTCACTCAACATCCACAATCTTGACATTCCTAGTTGTGGTTGTTAAGTAAGAATTGTTGGTCATTAAACAGTCGGAGTCCTAAGTAAGGAGTGCAGAGGTTCCTCAGAGAGTTGGGGGCTTCATACAAGTTGAAGGGGACTGTACTGCAACACAAAGCTGCAGCTGCCTCAGAAAACTTCAGCAGCCCACCTAGATTACCAGCACAGTACAAAGTTTCTGCAACCCAGGATACCTCAGCCACCCACCCAACACACCAACATGGCACAAAGTTGCCGCAACCTGGGAAGCCTCAGCTGTCTACCCGGCCCCCAGCACTTATGACTGCAGGAGTATTGCAGTTTCCTCCACCCATCTGTCTACCCCATGATCTATGCCCTTTTGGACACCCTGCATAGTGGCACTCACTGTCAGCAGCATTGGAGCAGGGGCTGAATTAAGGCCTGGGGCCTTCAGCTATCTTAGCCAGCTGCTACTTCCCTCAGGTCAGAGTTTTGGTCTAGCTCCCAGCTCCACTGAGAAATGTTGCCTCAAGCACCACACCTCAGCCAGCCATGGCCCCACCATTCTGTCACATTCCAATTGCCCCACCATCCTGAACTCCACAAGATCTGTTTTACCTCACTCATTTTCAGTCATTTTTCTCCTGACAAATGAACACTGTTCTCCAAGCCACCTCACACCATTCTCCATGCTAGTATCTGTTTCTCATCCTTCGTAAACCTCATTCCAATTATTTGGAAACTTCATCACATGCTCAGGATAAGGAATGAGGCTCGAGAAATCTCTTTAGCTCCTTCACTCTATTTGACCACAACAAGAGCATGATATTCTATCTGCATTATACCTACCACAACCTCTGGTTGATGTATGCCGCTAAGAAAGGGAGGGAGGGGGAGGGAACCGAAGGGAAGAGAATACCATAGTAATGGCATTTTCTTGTCACTGGAACTAGAAGGAGAAAATGACAGATAGGTAGAAGTTGTCCTCTTGATGGCCTGGGTACACTGGGAGAGGATACACTGTGTGTTGCTGCCTTCAAGAAATGGACAGTAGGCAGAGACAGGCTGATGCCGGTTCGGATCGATTTGCCCAAACCGATTATTCTAATTCTGCACGGTTTGGAGAACTGGCAAATTGGACCACCGGCTGGCCTCACCCCCACCCGTTTTTGGCTGTTTTTCAGGCTATTTTTCAGGCTGTTTTTGAGCTGTTTTCAGGCAGTTTTCCTGGCCAAAAACAGCCGGAATATTCTGCCTCTTTAATATTTCCTAGAATATTTCATTCTTCTAGGAGAGGGGTGGATGCTAACTTCCTACACAGTAAAAGGATCTTTAAAAGCAAGCCTAGGATACAATGGCAAATCACATAGCATTAAAAAAAAATAGACAAATCGTGTTTATGTTCCGAACATGGGGAAATGAATGGAGAATTTGTAAGATTTGCAGCTGCTGATAGACAAGTAACAGGTAATACAGCTAGTCCTCAACTTATGACCATTCATTTTAAGATGGTCCAGAATTGCAATAGCATTGGAATGGGTCTTTATGCCCCGTAAAACACTTTTGGCCATTTCAAAACATCACACCCCACCCCCTACAGTTACGTGATCATGATATGAGTGTTTGGCAACCTGTTTACACGTACTTCTGATTGCCTAGCATCCTGCAATCATGTGATCACTATTTGCAATCTTCTCTGCTGGCTTCCCCAGAAAATCAATGGGGAAGCAGGCAGGGACGGTTGCAAGCTAAATGTCTATGGAGATTCTCAGTCATCCAGGCCATGATTGTCCCAAAGGAGCTTTTTCAAAAAAGCTGGACTTCATTTTTCCTTGAAAATATTTCACTTCTCATCCAAGAAGCTTCTTCGGTTCTGACTGAATGGAGGAAGATGGAAAGATTTATATTCCTTGCAGTCATCTGGTCGTTAGCACTCTTTCTGAGAATCGTTGAGGCCACTTGGAGGATTATCTGTACCCTCAGGGTCACCTGAATAGTGCAGATAGATGTGGGACCTTCTTGGAGTTGCTAAAAGGATTGTGTTGTAAACAGGGAATAGGTGGTGTTATATCCTTCCCCCTCTGTTGAGAGAGGCTGTTCAATCTTATTGTAAATGGGCTCTTTGACCCCTCTTTCAAACCATCGTTCCTCTCTGTCCAGAATGATTCTGATTCTGTCCAGAATCAGAATTGCAAGTTGCTGCTCCCTGACAAAAGAATCATGTTTGAGTGACCTTGATGAGACCTTCAAAAGAATAAGATAAAATTTAAAGAACAAAAAGACAATGTATGGTCAAAATTATGCAGAAGGTAGGTTAATATTGTTTGGCAAAGATAATTCTTTGTTCATTTGCCAACACCTGTTTAAAACAATAGAACTGAAACAGTACACCTGGGCAGCATCAGAAAAATATCGCTGCAATCAAATTGGCTACGTATAGGAAACAGAAGATGGGAAAGTACAATTCAGTCAGCCAGAACTTCCAGGTGCATGTTGAGGAACCAATAATGAATTATTGTGTCAAATATATGAGTTAAACCTTGGAAATTAAAGAGACCATTTATGCCAACAGGATATGACCTAGTACAATTAGAGCTTAAGATCAGTGTAATGATTAACTTATAGCAAAAAGAACTGAGAAACTATGGGAAGAAATAAGAGTCACAAAAATTTATATAGAAAAAAGATTCTCAAAATGTCAAGAATCCAAATGACTTCCAGAACAAGTTATCTTGACAGGCAGACATTATGAAAGCCTTGGGCAACAAGAAGGAAGTACAGCAACTAATCGCAAACTTCCAACATCAAGCAAGTAAGGACAAGGAAATATATATCAATCAAGAATTTCAACCCAAAGAGGAAAATAACAAGAAAAGAGAGATGAGAGGTGCTTTTAAGAAAATAAGAGAACTCATAGAAAAATTCAAGATATAGAAAAATTCAAGGTTATAGGAAGAGTAATTATGCAAGGGATCTAATTGAAATAAATGAGACTAAAATTGCTTGAGAAATTAATTAAACTCTTTACCAATGGGATTATGATATGATAGAGATATTTGAAGGGAGATAATATATTTAGGAAACAACTCAATGAGAATGTAAGATGCAAAGCAACAGAACACTGTCAAACAGAAAAGCATTAGATATAAATGAAATGCCCGTTGAACTGCTTAAAGGCTCAGGGAAAAGAGAGTTGAATTTATAGTCAACAAATAATGGACATATTTGTGAGACCTAACGTTTGAAAATGAAAATACACATCTATATTGATATATCCAACATTTAAGAAAGATTTATTCCTTGACTACAGCAAGGATTTTTTTTTATTTTGTAGATCGTATCAATGGGACATTTTATAGCTATTGGGCATGTCAGAATGCCATTCTTTTGAATAAATTTCACAATGAAGCTATTATAAAAACTGAATTTGGAAAAATAGAGTAGTTCAAAAAGATGGAGGAAATGGATATATGGTATATTATTAACTCCTTATTTGTTAAACTTGCACAGCAAGTATATTATTAGAGGAATTAGAAAAAATGACAGTAGACATTGTAGAAATTGGAAACTGAATGAAGAATTTGAGATATACAAACAACAGCAGAACTTATTAGGAAAGTGAAAATAGTGATTTGGACTAAAGTTAAACATATGGAAGCATTAGGTGTGGTAGAGTACGGATATGGTAGATAGTTCTGGATTTTTTGGGTGAAGAATAGGTAAATATGGATAGTATACAAGAGAAAAATAGATTAATCTTTAAGAAGGAAAGCAAAGACAAACTCAGGCAGGATCATTAAGGTTTAGGGGATTTTTTTTATGTCAACAGATATAGGAACAGGTTTTTTCCCCCAGTGCTATGAAAGTCAAATATTGTACCACTGTGAACACTGAGAAAATGACGTGGAAAGAAGATAGTTGTATTTGAATTATGAGCCTGCAGGCAGTCATTAAGAGTGCCATAGGTTGCAGAAAGGTCATGAAAAGAAAAACTGTTTGCTACAGATAATGATTAGCAAGCAAAAAGTCACAAATTATGGACAAATAATGCAAGTGGACCATAAAAATTAATATGATTGTCAACTTTGAGGGAAAAAGAATATGGCTTTTAAGTTTTCTGAAGAAGGAAGAGTACTCAGTCTAACATATTATCCTTTAACATGTAATACAATAATAAAATCCAGTAGTCCAGTGGTAGAACTGGCAGAAATGAGCCTACTAACATACATACTAACAAACAGCTTGATTCTTTATTGTGCTAGTGCACTTAACAAATATCATATTCCCAATTGCTCTTCTAAGTTATCTTCTCTGGATGCATTGTAAGTAGGTAACTTGCAAATTGCCTCTTCTGGTGCTGTTCAGTTTCCAGTCAATATGGATCTCTATGTTTATTCCTGGACAAAGCATTTTAAAATACAAATCCCTTGCTTGACATCTGTATGAGAACAAATTCCTTGGATTTTTTCATATAACAATGCACAAAGGAAGGAAAATGTTACACCATTTCTAAGTGGGAAATTCCTTTCTCCATAAAATGTTATGAAGCAGAAGAGAATGAAGTTGGGTGGAATGATAGGGATGTGGCAGTGTTGTGGAAAAAAACAGTTCAGAGGCTAGTTCATGAATGTGATCCTGAAATGGTTTCTTTGAAAATAGAAAAGCCTGTATTTTTTATTCAGAAACAGTGTCTACTAAGCAATTTGTGTGCTAGAGTAGAATATGGCTTTTTAAGAAAGTTAAACTGAGGGGATATTCAGTCACTGCTAGGTTCTTGGGAAGATCATACTCATGTCTGTATTTGCATAGCATGTCAACCAGATAGACACAATTGTGGTTCCTTATTCTTAGATGGGCACCAGTCAGTCACACAACCTCGTACAAGGATTGGCATCTGGAGGAACAGGAATCCCATCCACTTCTTCCATCCCATTATGCCAGGAGAATGTTGGCAAAACTTCATTACATTCATGGCTGCTTCCCTATTAGCCACACATGCTGCAGACATTCACTGTTTTAAAAGTATGTTTTGTGACTGTCAGACCTTGCCAGTGAATGTTGTAATGCAGCATGTTGCTTTTTCAGAATTGTGTGCTTTGGACTCAGTTTATTGGAGGACTGACTGACTGGTATAGATGTTTCTGGCCTTCTGAATTTGTGTGACACTATCTTATCCAAAAATATACTTTGAGTAGCAACTGACTCCAAGTTTGGGGATTAAAATGGTCCTCCTTCTAACCTTGAATTGATTAGTACTGGGTTTCCCTGGCACATAGGACCAAAAATGCTTCTGCAGCACAAAAGTGCTGTGCAAACAATAGCCACATTCACATTTAAAACAGACTTAAGTAGAACTGCATCCTTCTCCTCCTAAAAGTATTTCTTTAGCCCACAGTCACCCTACAGATTTAACCCTCTTTCCCTTATGTGGGGCAGTTCAGAGATCCCTTGTTGTATGGTAGTTAAAGTACTGGACTAGGAATGGGAAGATTGAGGTCCTAAGTATAGAAGCCAGCTGGATGGTCCTTGGGCCAATTACTCCCTCTCAGCCCTAACCAATATGACAGGCTTGCTGATAAAGAAAAGAAACTTCTTGTATCGTGCACTGAATGCTTTTCTGTAAGAGTTACACAAGTATAGTGTAAATACAGGTAGACCCTGCAATGCTATGGAACAAATGCTAAGAAAAACAGCAGCCATTAGCTAGAGTAGTTTGCTGTAGAGTTTTTCCTTTGTCTTCTGATAAGAAATCTGCTGTTACACTTGTGACAGCAACTTGCAATTTGATCCAGATGGCAGGAGGTGACAGGCAAGTAAATGGATGATAATTTCTGGGGAATCTGATAGTTTGAGTGAAACGTTCCAATTTTCCTAGTTTGGACTTTAGCTTCAGTCCTTCATTAGGATATGCTAATAGAATAATCTAAGATGCTATTTTGACTGGGATAAATCATGCTACACCTGGGCTTTATCGCAAGGCAATGGAAAAGTTTTAAAATGTACAAGCAAAATCTTTAATAGTAATAATGCTGGCTGAATTAAGATGAATTCACAATGCTATGTATCACAGAGTTTGTTCTTACTCTCTTTTTGATAGGTAAATAAGATTGAAGTTGCTGAAAAGAAGCCAGTCTTTAATAAAGCAATTGTAGCCTTAGAAGACCACCTGGCATGTCGATGTGACCCAGTGTCACCCAGACTTCCCAGTCGGGAAAATTCACGTGAGCACAGAGGTGAGTAATGTGGAATTTATGCTTATGAGAATTGGGTACATATGAAGAGAAGTCTGAAATAATAAGTAGAAAGAATTCCTTAAAAATATGTTTGTCAGTGTCAATAAGCTTTTATATACTGATGTTTATTGTGCACCCTCTTTTTTTGGCAGGTGAGTCCCCAGTAAGTGCTGTAACTTCTCTTCCAGCAAGGGCAAGAGCACACAGGTTGCTGCCACAAAAGAGGAAGCATCGGAAGTTCAAACATGTACATGATAAAAAAGCACTGAAAGAAATTTTCCCAGCATAAAAATGCTGGCAGGCAGAAGTACAAATGTCAGGTAAATGTACGAAATATAATAACTCATTAAATTGGATTAGATTGGATTGGATTGATATTGAATTGAATTGAATTGAATTGAATTGAACTGAGTTGAGTTGAACTGAACTGAACTGAACTTTATTTGGCCAAATGTGATTAGACACACAAGGAATTTATCTCCAGTACAGAAGCACTCAGTGCACATGCAAAGCAATAGAATAGTAATAATCATAATAATAATACCAATAAGAGGGGGAGTAGAGAAGATAAGAAGGATAAATAATAATACTACAGCCATATTACATAGGTAAATCTACATAGACGTTAGATGGCACTGTGAGAATTAGGTGTTTCAGCGGAGTGATGGCATGAGGGAAAAAAAATGTCCCTGTGTCTAATTGTTTGGCATGCAATGGCCTATAACAGCATCCTGAGGGGAGGAGTTGAAACAGCTTATACTCAGCCCTCCTTCTGACCCACACAATATACAAATCAGTGGTGGGTTGCTCCCAGTTCGCACCAGTTCACAAGAACCGGTAGTAAAAATTTGTAGTTGTTCGGAGAACCGGTAATAACATTGGCTGGCCACGCCCCCACCGCTCGCTTACCCCGCCCACCTCATCAGAGGCTCTGTTTTAAAAAACTTTTAAAAGCATTTTTTCTACAACCTCTTCGGCCAAAAAAATGCTTTTAAAAGTAAAAAAAAAAAAGCCTCTGATGATCGCACAGCTCAGCTGGGATCGTCAGAGGCTTTTAAAAGCATTTTTTTCTGCAACCTGTTCGGCCGAAGAGGTCTTTAAAAGCCTCTGGCAATCCCAGCTGAGTTGCCTGATCGTCAGAGGCTTCTAAAAGCATTTTTTTCTGCAACCTCTTAAGGTTGTAGAAAAAATGCTTTTAAAAGTAAAAAAAAAAAAAGTTGGCCATGCCCACCCAGTCACATTACCCCCCCACCAAGCCACGCCCACAAAACAAGCCATGCCTACAGAACCGGTAGTAAAAAAATTTAGAACCCACCCCTGATACAAATCTTCTATGGAAGGCAGGGTGGTTACAATTATTCTTTCTGCAGTCTTAACTGTACATTGGAGTTTGTACCTGTCCTGTTTGGCTGCTGTATTTTGGGAGCCTCTTTAGCCAAGGTTATTTTCACACTAAATCCATTTGAATTACTGGGGCATTGTTTTTTCACAGTTGGCTGGAGAAGGAATTCAGATGACCGAATTCCTTATTTTATTTGGGGAGTGCAAAAATATGTGTGTTTATTATGAGTCTGAGACAAAACAGTCCCAATTGAAACAGTCTGCTGAAACAGTTGGCTGTGTTTCAGCTGAAATAAAATGAAAACAAATAAAATATTATATTTATAGGAATATAAGAAACACTGTGAATTTGGAAAAAGTCCCATTAATAGTGTTTCTCATCCCAGATCCACAAGACTATGAGGACAATATATTGTGTCACCTTCTGTCTAGCTAAGTTGCAGGAAAATTAACCAAAAAGATGAGTTTTGAAATGTTTTTGAAATTATTAAAGCAAACAATGGGAATTTAACTTTGCAATTAGCCACTGCAAGTTTAATTTAGATTATAATCTTTATAACAACTATTTTGTAAGATAAATCAGTAGATTTGGCACATCTTTTTTCTTTTGTGCCTCATTGCCAGATATAACCTCAGCAAAATGAACACCTTGATTTCCTTGTTTACAAATGAGGATGGAAGCTGCTGCAAAAATTTATTGCAGAAATTTCTATTAAAATTACAGCAACAACAAACACACTAAAGCTCAAGAATCCAACACAAAAATATAAAGCATGCGTGCACATGAAAGCTTAACAGCCCAACCAAGCCAACTTTATATTAGTGCTCTTTGCATGTACAAAACTTTAAATATATTACCAACACTTGTATCTGAAGCATAGTAGCATGTGCTTGCAAAGACACCTTTGCATAGCCTCTCTGCAAAATAAAGACCAACACAATTTAATCCAACCACCCACAGATACTCTAAATTCCCGGTACAGCAGTGGTGAAATGTAGCTGGTTCTATTCGGCTCGGGTGAACCAGTAGCGTAGGGGTCGGGAGGCTCCGCCCACCCGCCCGGACGTCATCACATCCTGTTTTTGATGCTCTGTGCATGTGCAGAAGGTCCTGCACATGCGCAGAGGGTGTCACGCACAAGCGAAGTGAGCACGCATGCGCGAGTGCTCCCATTTGCAAACCAGTAACGAAGGTAAGTGGATTTCACCCCTGCCGTACAGTAACATTTTTACATTGTAACTTACCAGTCCAGCTGGCAGCATGCAGTTGCAAGCTATCTTCTGCCTGTCCACATTTTCAATTGTTGCTTTCTCCTCAACCTGTCAAGCATTGGCCTATTACAGTGGAAGCATGAGTGCTTCCCATGCTTGTACTAGGAAAAAGAAATGGATAAAATAAGCTAATCACAACCTGAGAAATAACAGTAAATCACATCACTCAAGACACTCAAAATGATGTACTGTCAGGAGACCCAAAACAGCCAATCAATTGCCCAGCAGTGCCCCTGACATGATCAAATTTCTACAATATTCAAATACTGCCATTCAACAAACATGCTGTGCAATGTTATTTGCAACATTTTCAGCATAGTAAAGTTATAGTGATGAATCTTCCATTATTGTGTCAAGCTTTATTTGTGGGAAGCGATATGAAATGAAGCCAGTTATTAAAGCCCACCCAGCCCAAATCAAGAAATTCATATATAATTCATGAGAAAGTTGCAATGATCAAACAAAGCTTTAGCTTTAGCTTTAAAAAGTGCTATTTTTAAAAGATTCAAAATTATCCTGTCATAAATCATAACTGAAAAAATGACAAGACAGTTTAGGAAAACCAGAATGCTACAAATTGGCATCAACATTGTTAGGATGTTCTTGAAGGATTTTTATTATCAGATTTTATGAAACTCAGTATGAATTTCTATAGTGTCCCCACAATCATGTCGTGGTAGACATCTGATGGTGTATTATGACATCATTCTTTTTATTTTTGCGACCCTTAAGTAATCCCTTAATTCAGGGTAGAGTTGGAGTGACTGGATGGAGTTGAGCGTTTACTGGCCAGGTGCTCTTCCTGATACCTACACAGAGTACGCAGCAGATATTTTCTCTTTGCGCCCTGCAAGAGAAACATCTATCACTACCTAGGATTGAGCTCTCAACCTTCCAAGTGGGAGGCGAGCGTCTTTACCACTAAGCCACTACACAATTCTATTATTATGGCAGAATGTTGGACACAAAATGTTGTGGTTCGATCCAGCAGTTACACTGATTTTTATGGATACTTTTTAAAAAGTTGTAACAAAAGAAATCCCGGACTTCTGGAAAAGCAATGAAGATTTATTTATTTTTTTATGAATTTATTAAATTTATATGCCGCCCACCTAGAGATTATGTTTTGTATGGAAGCAATCCTCAAATTTAGCTGTCAGGGCAGAAATCTTTTTGATATGAAAATGTGAAGAAAACCACAACCAACCTCATTTAGGCACCATGAGCAGATGACTTATTCTCTGGAATGGAATGCTAATCTCCTTTTTTTTTCTTTCCTTATGTTTCAGGTTTATTTAATATATTTTCTGTATAGCCCCCATGGGGTTATCAAAAGTTTCTCTCCGTCCATCTGCCTCAATGCCCCTTTGGACGGCCAACGGTGCTTCCCAATTCCTCATTCGCTGAATGTTTTCTCACCAAAGTTTGCCATTTAAGTTCATAATGGCATTACATCCACCTCTTGAAGAAGAGAAAAGGAGAGAGGAAATAAAGAGCGAAACGACAGCAATGGGGATGGACAACATGCTTTTTGCTGCAACAAACACTATCGAAATGTTGCAAGACTTGTGGCTCAAATGCATTTTGGAAGTGGTGGGTTTGTGAAAAACAGGAATATAACAAGGTTATTTTTTCCTTTTTTTTTTCTTGCCCCATCTTGGACTTAACTGGACTCAGGTTGTTTACTGTGGCAGTGGGCATGTCAAAAGAGTCAGTATGGCAAACGGTGACAGCAGATGCACTAAGGACTTTTACTGTCATGTTTCCACTGATATGTTTAATGTCTTCATGTATATTTCATTTTTCATACCATGCCTTGGGGAACTGAAGCAATCAATACTAAATACCCATTCCTGACCCTTTCTGGAAAATAGGCAGGGAGCAGTTATGTTGGGAGTCCACCTTACCCATCCCCATTCAAAGCTTCCTCATGGGTCAAAGAGGTAATTTCTGAAAGTGATGTTAAGAAAGACTTAGCTCCTCCTGTTAATTGAGAGTTTAGAGATGTTTCTGTTAATAAATTTGCATGGGGAATTTGCAACTCATGGACAATTTGGGGCATCTAGCACCCCTGTTGGGCTATTTTTGCGGCCACTGCCTCCGTAGTTGCTAGAATAAAGCATTGCTTTTTAGTAAGCAGGGCCACAGCAATGTTTCAGCATGTTGTTTTAAGATTAGGCAGTATACAGGCAATCAGCATCAGCATCTCTATAAATGATCTTAAATGCCAGTGGAGGTCAAGAGGTCTCTGCTTAAGACCACAAAAGCTCTTCCTACTCCAGGTAAATAGCAGCTGTTTCAACCAATCATTGTTAGGATACAAGTATATAGCATCAGCCTTCACTTGTATGTCATTTTTTTCTCTAGCATAGTCATTTATGCCCAGATGCAGTCTTATACAGGGGCATAGATGGGGTTGTAAGGGATCAGAAGTTAAAAAAAAGAAAAGATGGCAGTTGCCCTTGCCATCTTGACCCCACCCCAATCCTGGACACCACAAGTCTTACAGCACTAATCTCAGGTTAATATCTTCCAATCTTATGAAAACCAAGCTGTGTAAAATCTCAGAAAAGCCATACAATGCTGCACAATGTATTGAATATGTATAAAGGTTAAGTGGTGCTGAATATCATTACACAAAGTGCTGCTGGCTTCATCCCAGTCCAATTAGTAACATCTGATGGAGATGGCAGACTTCTCTCTCTTTGGGTCTCCAGCTTGGGATTTGTTCTCTTTGAAAAGACGATAAATAAGTTGTTCCCTGTCAGTAAATGCAAAATTCACTGAGTCTTCTGTCGAGACAGTAGCCTGCCTTCCAGGAATCAGTGGTTAAAAACTTGTTGGTATTCACTTTATCAGAAAGAAAGAAAGAAAAAGAAAGAAAGAAAGAAAGAAAGAAAGAAAGAAAAGAAAGAAAGAAAGATGTTTAATTGTCTATGGACCTTTACTGAGAGAATACTGAACAAAAAAAAGAAAGAGATATGTGAGTGTGTAATATCCCCTTTTCGAATTACATTTTAGCCCTGATCATTTACTGTGTTGTTATAAAAGAGGAAAGACAAAAAGAAAATTGTTGAGGTCATAGTTGGGTAGAGTTTGAACAAGGTTTGGGCATTTAAGGTCCAACTCTATAATTTCTATACTATTGGCCACCTCATGATGGAAAAACGTGCTTACATTTTAACTGAAAGCATTCTAGTTTTATCCTCAGTGACTGAACATGTGACAGAATCCAGCAGTAATACAAATATCTTTGTTAAGAGAATCTTGTCTAAATAGCTGAAACTGTGAAAAGCTCTTGGTAAGGAGGCATCAAGACAAGAAATAAGGCTTTTTGCAATCTTTAAAACATGTTAAATGAGCTATGCAAACCATGGTTGGTTAGAATTAACAGTCTTGTGCTGCAAAATTCCAGCTGATCATTAAATGGTAGAACAGAGTTCTGTCATTTGTCTTTACTGCTATCTAACCCAGATTTTTGCAGCTCAGGTGGTAATTCTACATTTTTTGGGTGAGCCACATTTGGGCTTGTTCCTAGCTCTGAGCTATTAGTCATGGTTTATAGATTACAGTGGCTGTGCAACATGTTAAAGCCAAATGCAACCACCCACCTAATAATGTTGTATGATGTGCACATTGAAAAACAGTCTATTTTACTCCAGTTGAGACAAAAGGCAAGATGCTAAAATTGGGCAAACTAAGTAATAGTTACTACAGAGATGTGGAATAACTAGGGCTCTAACAGGAGAAAACTGTTTTCTGTCATGTTCCCATGCCTAATGAAGGATTCTTAAAATGCACCTTTTCCTCTCTTGTTCCATTTTCAGTCCATCTCCCTATGGAAGCAGAATAGAAAATTTAGTTGGAATACTTACTTTACCTCCAATTTCAGATTTTGTTGTCCAAAGAGAATGGGGCTTAATAATCTCCTCCTTGACTTTCATTTGACTGATGCTATTGATATTTGGGTGCCCTAGATAATTTTTTATGACACATCTTGCTTCAGCCCAGTTTTTTTCATATGAAAACATCCATGGTTCTCTAACACCTAATAAGACTGAGATTTGAGGTCATTAATAAATAAACTACTTGTATTTAGCCAGATTGTACTGGTTAAGGGGAAAAAAGCATTAATACTATAGCTGTGGTCTCTTAATATAATTCCATGGCACCAAGATATATGAAAAATCTGCTCAAAACAGTTTGGAAATATGCATTTCCTGTCTACTCACTTTATACTCAATGGTTTATTTCTGACATTAAAATACTTGCTATTCAGTCCTATTTCATTTTGTTTTCAAAGGCCATTTGTTTTTGGGTTTTTTGCATACTTTTATTTGTAAGGTGGGAGAGGTCTTTCATCATCCCTCATTTTATGTACAATTAATTTATACTCTGTATCGTATTTAAAATTGTTTTTAAAAAATCTTAAAACCCAAAGTCTTAATGGTTTTATGTTTCATTGGCATTCAATTCCACTATGCAGGTTGAAGAGTGAAAAGTCTTAGAAGCTGAAATACATTTTACATTTAGAAGTTATGGAACATTATTGTTTATTGCTAGTCATTCTTTTTCTCAAGTTCAAATTCAAAATGCAGGGGTGTCCATAAGGAATGGGGGGAAAAAAATCAAGATAGTAGCTGTAATGGTACAACTAAAGCTCTATCCGTTTTTATGCATATCACTGCTGTCGTCTTGAAATAGATTGAGCTCGAATTGTACCACTGTGGCCACCATTTTGAGTTGTTTTTTAACATGCCCTGAAGATACTCCCACAGGGTACTGCTAAACAGCTATCTGATAGCTGAAATAAAGAGAATTCCACCATCCAACTTCTATCATTGTGGTGAAAACAGTTTTTCTATAATCCAAATCACTAGGACCACTCCATCATCTCCAGAGGTTAATGTTTACAACCAACAGCAGAAGATAGTAGCTGATGGAATTCTGTCTGCATCAGTGATAAATGCCAAAGTAGTATGGAAATGCAGGTCTTAGTATCGTAGGTTTCTGATTATCAAATGCTTACATATCACAGTGCCGTATTTCATATTTGCTTCATTCACAAATTGAATTTACTGAATGGGGGAAAAAATCTATAAAAATTACTCCTCTGTATTCTCCAGAAAGACTGAGCACACGACTATTATATCACCAGCACACCAGTGGCATTTGGAAATTGGTGTTGGTGAAGCCAACAAAGGAAAAATGCTGTACTAAGTGAGTTAAGGATGATTTGGTCACATCATGAATTATAACGTTGCAGAGCTCAGTGTATTCATTTAACCTATGATAATTGTGACCTCTTATAAAAATGCTTCAATATGCAACAAGCCATTGGTACAACAGAATGAATTAACCATTGTATCACTGATGGATCTATCCATGCAGAAGATTAGATCATTTTGAACAATTGTATTGCATAAAGTTAATTTCCAAAATGACTTGCTGGACAAATTTCAGAAAGGTAGCCATGTTAGGGGTATTCACATATATATATATATTCATCATTTAGTACTTGATGAACCAATAATACTGGTTTCTACTTGAAAATATTAGGCTGCATCCAAACCAAGTTAGTTGCTCTTTAAAGGAGAATATGTGTATGTCAGGGTTGAAATGAGGGTTCCTCGGCGTTCTCTGAGCTTTGTTGTTTGCTTGCAGACGGTTCATTACCCAAACTAGATAACATCATCAGTGCTAGTCTAGTCTAGCACTGTCTAGACTAGCACTGATGATGTTACCTAGTTTGGACAATGAAATATCTGGAAGAAAACAACCAACCTCAGAGAGCACCAAGGACCCTTTGTACTTGCTCTTTATTTGTGTATAAATTTGTAAAACAAATTAGCCATGGACAAATCCACTGAGTTTGTAAGATAAAATTCTGAAATACATAGCGAGAGAATAATTATATATTACACATTTTAATTAAGTTTAAATGTGATGAAGCCAAATCAGTTTTAGTACACTATTCTTAAATGGCAATCTCTATCTCACACTCAAATGCAACTGTAAGCTCCAGCTTTAGAAGAGCCGTACTCTAAGCCAGGGGTGGGTTCTACTTACCTTTACTACTGGTTCGCATGTGCAGATCACCTATGATGACGTCCGGGTCAGTGGGCGGAGCCTCCCGCCGGTTTTACTACCATTTCTTGCGAACTGGGGGCAACCCACCACTGCTCGAAGCCTAAAAGACCATTTGAAAAACATACATCTAAATTGAAATGACAATAAAAAAAAAATCCTCAGTCTACTATATCTTCACTATTATATAATCTTTTTCATATCATCTCTCAGGAAAAAAGCCACTTTTTTTCATTCTAGTCCCTAGTATTTGAAAGTCCTGAAAATCTGTCTCTTTTACTGTTTAAATTATTTAAAGCCTCGCAAACAAGCAAGTGCATTTGTCTTAGTGTCTAGAGTCTAGAGAATCAGCTCATCTGAATTCAGAAGTCCATGTTGTGTCTCTTTCCACTATGTAAAGGATGTAGTTCCATATATTGGCATCTGTATGCCAGCCAATGTTTCTGATCTAGGCAACAACCAGTTCCAACAACTTGTTGCAGGTCTTTTTCTTACCCTTGTCTGCAAATGAAATGTAACATTTTGTTGAAGAGTGCACATACATCTCATTAAACAAAGCCAATCCAGACCCATTTTCCCTTCTCCTTATTTGCAAGCACAGAATTACTTTTTGTCATTCACACTTCAATATAAGGGAACTAGATACACTTTTTATAAAAGTGTTGTTATTCTAAGCTGCACCTTGCCCTGGCCTCCTATCATGAGCCCCCATCCCCATCCTGCAAGAAAAAAATACAGGAGGCATAACCAACAGCCTGGCCAGAGTGAATGCACAGTCCCCAGTCCCCAGGATACCCTGTGACAAGCTTCAGAAAGAAGCCCAGAATAAGCAGAAAAATATAGTTCCAGTTTCAATAAACTGGTTAGACAACACTCCAGAACTAAGGATGGAAACTCAGATCTGCAAAATACCAGCTGTGACACTGAGTAAGTCCATTCCTTTAATGTGAGGCCAATATCAGGTGATGTAGGATTTATGAGGAATGCCATCACGTATTAAATGTTTTCATAAACCTAAAACATAATTGGTTGAATCGTGATTAAGTTATTGTTGAACTATATTCTTGTAAACTCAGTGTGACTTAGCCATGGCTAATTTGTTTTACAGATTTCAATGAAATAAAGAGCAACTACCTTGGTCTGGATCCAGCCTAAAATTTTTAAGTGGAAACAGTTAGCATTGACTGATGAAGTACTAAATGATGAATATACCGTATATGTGAACTCCCTAATATGGCTACCTTTCTGGAATTTGTCCAGAAAGTCATTCTGGAAATTAACTTTATGAAATACACTTGTTCAAAATGATCTGAAATTTCTTGGCATGTTTTTTCAGAAGTGTTTTGCCATTGCCTCGTTCCTACGGATGAGTGAAAGTAACAGATCCAAAGTCATCCAGCTGGCTTTGTGCCTAAAGCGGGATTAGAAGTCAAGATCTTCCGATTTCTAGTCTGATGCCTTAACCACTGCAGCATTAATTGTTATTTATAAGACATTATTAATAACAATTATTATTAATTACAGTCCATACTAGACAATGACATTGTACATTCCCAGGCACTTGAGGCTTGAAAACTTCAACTGGTCCAAAATGGATTTGCTAATCAAGAATAGCATATTTAATACTATACACTAAGGCTAGATGCCTGCATTGGCTTTCAGTTTATTCCAGATCCAGTTCAAAATGCTGGTGAGTATCTTTAAAGCTCTACATGTCTTAGCTTCCACTAAACCAAATTTCCTGGCAAAAATTTAGCATGTGCTGGCTTCTCCAAGGCAAGAAGGTGTGAAATGGGAGGAGAAATCTGTCAATGTACCTTCTCAGAGATTTCACTCACAATCTCGAATGTCTAATCTCCTGTGAAAAGTGGCAACGTACAAAAAGGCTGTATATTGTCACCCTGCTTATTTAACTTATATTCAGAGAACATCATTGAAATGCCAGGCTGAATGAATCACAAACTGGAATTAAGATTGCCAGGAGAAATACCAACAACCTAAGATAGGCAGACAATACCACTCTAATGGCAGAAAGTGAAGAGGAAGGCTCTTGATGATGAGAGTGCAAAAGTTGGCTTGATTACTAAAAAATATTAAACGCTAAAAAACTAAAATCATGACGTCCAGTCTCATCACTTCCTGGCAAATAGAAGGGGAAGAAATGGAAGCAGTGATATATTTTATTTTCTTGGGCTCCAAGACCACTGCAGATGATGGCTGCAGCCCTGAAATTTCATTTCATTTATTTCATTTATTTAATTTTTATACCGCCCTTCTTCCGAAGGACTCAGGAAATTAAAAGATACTTGCTCCTTAAGAGGGAAGCTATGGCAAACCTAGATAGCATATTAAAAAGCAGAGACATCACCTTGCCAAAAAAGGTGTGTATAGTCAAAACTATGGTCTTCCGAGTAATAATGTATGGCTGTGAGAGTTGGGCCATAAGGAAGGCTGTGCACCTGTTCTGCCCCAGCTACGGACCCCAAAGAACGCAGCACACTCAAAGTTTGTACAAAACTTAATTTACTAAAATAACTCAGTCTTTTTCAAAACAAAGGCTGTTAATAAACTTTCTTAACAGCCTACAAGAAACCAAAGATAGGGTAATCACAATCTTACTAAGTTTGGCAGAAAGCCCAGAAGCAATTTGCAGAGAATCCAGACGCGAAGGAGAATGAACTAAAGTTGTTCACTACAAATTGCTTCAGTCGGCATTCCTTCTTAAATAGGCTAAGAGAGTGGCCAATTAGCCCCAAGCCTTACTCTCGAGGAGACCTCCTCCTGAGGAGCCACTCCTGCCTTTTGGCAGCTCTGCGCGCCTGTGCATCGAGAAGAGGCTCCTCTTCTTCATCCTCTTCACTTAAAGGAGCTTCTGGAAGTTCTGAAGGCCCTGGCTGAATCCCTGCCTCTGGCACCACATCTTCTCCAGTCTCCTCATTGTCTGACTCGAGTGCCAGCTGCACACGGTGCTAGTGCAGCACCACACCAGCCTCCTCGCTGTCAGAATCAGCTACAATCCACACAGGTCGCTGATGGGCCACAACATCACCAAAGAATTGATGCATTCAAGAAGGATGTCTTCAAATCCCAAACACCCTAATGGGGGGCAGAGGGAGGGCAGGGAGGCACGAGGACCCCCAGAAGGCCAGGCGGAGCCAGTGCATGGGCACCAGCCAGGTGGTTTCACGTGTGCATGCATGCCAGAAACTGGAAGAGCAGGTGGCTGGCGCGCATGTACGTGCTGGAAACTGAAAAATCATCTGCTTTTCCTGTTTCCAGCGCTCGCGCACACGCGGTCACATTTTGGCACTCGGTGCTGAAAAGTTTAGCCATCTATGGTGGGGTTGCGAAGAATTGGACATGACTTAGCAACTGTACAACAATGTATTTAAGAAGGAGGTGGAAAAGGGATTATACAGGAATCCACTATTAAGGCACATCAAGAAATGTTGTTACCAAGAGGATTGATAAGATGTTGCCTCCACCATTCCACAGCAGTTTAGGTAACTGAGCAGATATTTTGCTGGTTTCTTTCTTAATTACATCTATAATTCACCTAATCAACCGCAGATACCCAGTGTTTACAATAATAAATATTAGTGTGCATAAAAAAGATGCAAAATGCTCAGACATTCACAGCAAAAGTTAAAATCATTGAACCCACCAATCTATCAACTGTTCCACCAATTCTTATACTGTTCCAGCAACTGTTCCAGCAATTATTATAACATCCAGAACAATCCAAATAAATCTGTGACAACAATTGTGCATTGGAAAAACTCTATTTTTAACCCTTTCCAGAATGCCTTATATTAAAGAACAAATATAATTTTGCAGGGGAGACCATTTCACAATGTACAATGGAAATATAGCATCTCCTATCCTTTATTCCCCTCCTTTAATGGAGTTGGGGAACAATTAATAGTTTTTCCCAGGAGGAGCCCTGGATACGTTGGCTTCTTGAAGGGGGAAGCCCCTTCTTGCATTTCTCACTGAGTATGAGATGTGCCTCTCATCAAGTTTAAGGGCAACAGGAGAAATGTAGAGAGTACAGGCAGATCATACCACAAACACAACTGTCTCATCCAATATTTCATTGCTGCCTGCCTCACTTTGCACTATCCATCCCTGAGGCAGCTGCTTCAATGCTGCATCGGGAATGAAAGCTCTGTATATTGCATTTACCAAGTTCACTCATCTACATGGTATGTGGCACTGTCTAGTCTTCTGTTATAAGAAATATTCACCCAAATGATCTATATGTCTACAGTCTACATCTTGGATAAATCTACAACTTTGTCAGCCATTAGAGGTAGTCCAGGCAAAAGCACCAATCATGAATACTTACACTACTACCATTATTGTAAGGTTACAATAACAGGACATTGAAAGTGTGAAAGTACATTTCTCCCCCATTGCCTTTACAGTCCAAGAAATCAGGGTGGGTCCCTTATGAGATGTTTGCCATGCCTTCATTACTTCTGTGGACTAAGCTACTTATCTGACCTTGCCTAGTCTGCCACTGCTGGTGCTAGAGGTGCTCTTATTCTCCAAGATCATTTTAATCTTGGATGCATAGTTACCTACAGTATATGACAGCAAAGGGCAATAGAACATATAATATCCATTGCATGCACATATTTCAAAATGAGATAAAGTTTTAGGGACAGTAAATTTAAAAAGTGCAGTGCAGAAAGATTTCTCAAGAACAGGGGAATAAATTGGATTGAGTGTTCTGTTTCATATATGTGTGGATTGCTTTGCATCTGAAACCATGCACACTCAAATGCCTGATAAATGTATGAGCTGTGCAGCTATTAAATTCCTCTGAAAGGAGGAACTGAAGCTAAAATGACAACGATTGTGTGTCCTGGTGATCCCGTTAGCTCAAACGTTTACTACCAGATTTTATCAGTGATCTCTCCATTACAGAGACTGTTAATAAAATCAGTTAGGAGAATAGAATATAAGCAGAGTTGGCAAAACGGAAAACCCAACCCTAACCATTACCTTGCTAGTTAGCTGCAATTTGAATGCAATATTATTACTACATCAATCTAGTGGCTTTCTGCATCCGAGGAAGAGAGCTGCAGCTCACCAAAG